AAACTGGCTTTCTCACTCTACATTCATGATCGTGTTGGTCTTATTGCCTTTGTCTCCAATCTACCCACAGTTTTCACACCACAACGACTTATTTGCCCTCGTGAAAGTGGAATCATTGCGAATCCTACTGGTTTCTGCCTGGGTATAAGATGCATTGATAGCGCATTTGCACCTTACCAAGTGCTGGAATCGGAAAATACGTGCGGTTTACCCGTCATGGTGGCTCTCCTTATAAAGTAAGAAAGGCATCAGGAGTACTCCGGTACACTGTACCGACGCTTCGTTTTTACGCAACCACCACCTAGAATAGCAGATAGCACTGAATACAGCCAAGGTCCGCAGTCGTACAGTGTTCGTTGTCTGGGTTAATACGTTATTTTATCAAGGTCATTGGCGTTTTGTTTTTCCCTTCTGTTGGGCATGAAGTTTTGTGGAGCAGTGAATTGTTATTTTTGGATTTTCGTCTAGTGAGAAGATTATAAGAAACGGCGACGGAGAAAATTGGAAATGTGCTGAATTTTTCTGCTGAACGATTTCAAAAGCTGCTTTTTCAATAGCAAGCTGAAATGGAGGCGCAAATGAAGATGATTGAAAATCGGACACAGTGCTTGAGTTTGCAGACAACAGGAGCAGCGGCGTGGGACAAGCAGGCGAGTTCTGTTGATCTTCTCGCGAACGCGATCACTGAATTCAATTATAATGCGGATTCTGGATGCACCTTCGAAGCGTGGTTCAAGCGCTGGGAAGACATGTTCGAGACGAACTTCATTCGTCAGGACGACTCCTGGAAAGTGCGATTGCTACTCCGCAAGCTCGGAATAAGTGAATATTCACGGTTTATAGACCACATTTTGCCCAAGCAGCCGAAGGATCTGACTTTTGACGAAGCAGTGTCGCAGTTGACGGAAATTTTTGTTGAGTCGGTATCCTTGTTTAGTATTCGCTATCAATGTCTGAAAATTGTCCAACAGGAATCTCACGACTTTGGGGCCTTAGCAGACATGATTAACCGTAAGTGTGAACGTTCCAAATTACGATCTTTAACGGACGATCAGTTTAAGTGTCTCATTTTCGTCAGCGCTCTACAATCGCCCAGTGATGCTGAGATCCGCACGCGGCTTTTAGCTAAGCTGGAGCAGGATTCTGATCGGACACTGAAGGCCCTCGTAAGCGAATGTAAACGGCTGCTCATTCTAATACACGACACTGCCATGGTCGAACGCAGTGGTCTCGCACCACCAGCTACCGTGCAACTCGTGAAAAAGGCCAGGACCGCCAACGCAAGCAAACCCTTCAAGAGGCCTACGAAGAAACCGCCCACAGCATGCTGGTCTTGCGGCGAATGGCATTTCGCTCGCTTTTGTCCCTTCAAACATCATATTTGTCAAACTTGTCATAAGCGTTTGCATAAAGAGGAATGCTGCAGTCAAGTCCGGTCAAAGTAAATGCAGAAGTCATATCGAAAGGGTAATTCTAGAAGGGACGGCGCTGACTCTCTGTCCATAGTTGTTGCATTCCAAAGCGAGTGTAAACCGAGGCGACGATTTATCAGTATGTTGATCACTGGGATCCCAACTAAACTACAATTTAACACGGCCTCGGGCATCACGATTATTTCCAGGAGCACATGGAATCACATAAAGAGGCCGAAGATGGTCGAGTCTCAGAAAGTTGCACATAATGCATCCGGCGGTGTGTTAAACTTAGTGGGCGAACTCAATTGCAAGATTGCTTTCCAAGGTGTGGAAAAGTCGGGAGCATGCTACATTTCCGGCCGGCCGAATTTGAATCTCCTTGCCCTCGACTGGGTTGAAAAGTTGAATCTCTTCGATGTTCCCTTGAACCAGATCTGCAACCGAGTTCGAGCAAGTCCAGACCCATCATCAAAGTCCGTCGAAGACATGACACGTACCCTGAAGCGCAAATTTGCCTCTGTCTTTCAGGATGGCTTGGGCCATTGTACAAAATCCAAAGCGACACTGAACTTGCGACCAGGTGCTAAACCAGTGTTCAAGGCCAAAAGACCGGTGCCATACGCAGCCATGTCAACCGTTGAGCAAGAGCTCGATCAACTGGAACGGGCCGGAGTCATCACAGCCGTCAACTACTCATCATTGGCCGCACCTATTGTCGCAGTGAAGAAAGCAAATGGCAAGGTACGCGTTTGCGTTGACTTTTCAGCTGGCCTCAACGCCGCGCTGGACGACCACCAGTACCTCTTACCTGTACCGGAGGATATCTTTGCAAAGTTGAATGGTGGTAAGTACTTTGCTAAACTTGATCTATCCGATGCTTATCTGCAAGTGGATGTTGACGATGTCTCGAAGGAGTTGTTGACGATCAACACTCATCGTGGGCTATTCCAGTACAACCGCTTGTCATTTGGTGTGAAAACGGCGCCAGCCATCTTCCAACAGTTGATGGACACCATGCTAGCGGGCGTTCCTGGAACCGCTGCAAATCTGGATGATATCATATTGATGGGCCGAACACCGGAAGAACTGTTTAACCGACTGGATGAAGTGTTTGGTTGCATACAGTCGTACGGTTTCCGGATCCGTGAGGATAAATGCACATTTTTCACGCCGATTATCAAATACCTCGGTTTTATCCTCGAAAAGGACGGACGTCGACCAGATCCGGAAAACATAGAAGCTATTAGAAAAATGCCTCCGCCAACAGATCTACAGTCCTTGCGTTCCTTTTGTGGGCTCATCAGCCACTACAGCGCATTTTTGCCTGAGATACACCACCTGCGTGCCCCGCTAAACAAGCCGTTAGCCAGAGGTCAAACATGGAACTGGACATCCGAATGTCAGAATGCCTTCGAACGCGTCAAGTCACTGCTGTCCTCAAACTCGCTTTTGACTCATTTTGACCCCTCCAAAGAGATTATCTTGGCCACAGATGCATCGCACCATGGGATTCGTGCAGTAATATCACACACGCCGATAGATCTCAGAAGGCAATCGCTCATGCCGCCAGAACACTTACGAAGGCCGAGAAGAATTACAGCCAGATTGAGAAAGAAGCATTGGCCATAGTGTACGCAGTCAAGAAATTCCACAAAATGCTATACGGCCGCCGCTTCAAGCTTCTGACAGATCACAAGCCCTTGCTGGCTATCTTTGGTTCGAGAAAGGGCATTCCGGCCTACACAGCCAACCGGCTACAACGTTGGGCTCTTACCTTAATGGGGTATGATTTCGAGATCCAATACCAGTCGACAATTTCCGTAGGCCAAGTGGATGCACTGTCACGCCTAGTTGATGCCCGCCAGCAAGAACATGAGACACAATCATTACCTCGGTCGAGATTGAACCTGACGTCAACTTTCTGGTAACTGATGCATTGCACGGTCTACCAGTTACCGCAGAACCTGTACGAATCGAAACGCTTCGGGACCCAATACTCAAGAAGGTTACACGATTTCACAAAGCAAGTTGGCTACGTTCATGTCCATCTGCCGAGTTGCAACAGTACTTCCAGAGGAGACACTCGCTCTCTATTGTAAACGGCTGTATACTATTTTCGGAAAGAGTGGTCATCCCCAAGGCACTTCAGGAGCGTCTTATTCGGCAGTTTCACGTCGGGCATCCTGGAATCAACCGGATGAAGGCGCTTGCCCGCAGTTATGTATACTGGCCGGTGGCCGAGTGGTCTGCACGTTTGCTTTGCAACCATAAGGTCACCGGTTCGAATCCGCGTAGGGGTGGGCGTCCTCGCGGTATACTCAGCCCGCGCGCGACTAGTGGTGGTCGCGCGGCAGCGAAGCGCCGTTACGGCGTATAAGCTGACACCTTTTTGACATCTTACCAGTCGCGCTTGGGCTAAGAATACTGCGAATTCACCCGGTCCCCTGAATAGGTTCGAAACGGTGAACTCCGTGTTGCAAAGCAGATGCATTCTCCTTTCGGTCACTGGCCGGCAAATGGTTCTCCTTAGCTTGTAAGCCGCCAATGAACCAGTTTATCTTGTCAGCATGTAAGGCAGCCTGTTTTTGGGGGACTTGACAGGCTAACTCCATTCTATTCCTAAACCTCTACGGTGACTTCAAAATCCGAGGAACGACATTTGGGAAGCGTCTTTAGACGTTTTCTACCATGGATGTGATGAACCATAGTTACTTCAGATTTTCTTTCCTCTACTATATTCTCATCAAATATCTTTATTTTCTTGGCCTCCACCATGTGAGCTAACAACATACCGAGAGTATGCGGACGACGTGGCTATCTGTGGTACGGACCCAATTTTTCGGGTGGAAAGGTGTGCTTTCGGTTTCATGGAGCTTCTGCGGGACTAAACTAACAAGCTACAGATCCTGACTATCACCAAACAGACACTCGAAGTGCCGACTCGGTTCATTTGCGTATGCAGTTGCATCACTCGTTGTGGTCAACTCACTGTGGGGGCTAACGCATGCATCAGCAAGTTTTGTGTGACATCTCAAGTTCTTGGTCATGTACGGAGACGGCGGAATGCTTATTTACTGTGTTACGACGTGGCCATACCTTGAGACTGATGTTACTTTGGGAATCGGAAGCATGGTCATCTTGTATTGGCGGGCTTAGAAATTGCCTATCTTCTTCTGTGTTTGCAGTGTCGCTTACGTCTGATGGGAGCATCAAGTGAATAGTCAGCATCTGAGAAAAGTCCATCTGGTACCGTGCTGGAGGGATACACGCCGTGTAAATGCACTTGCGTTTTTTCACTTGTTCTGTTACTGATTTCTACAGGACCCTTCCTATTGAACATCTTTTTGTACGGTAGGGTTCACCGTGTCTTGTTAACCATCTTCGTTATGAAAACAGTCGCGTTCTTTCTGTTGTGTGCATACTATCAGTCTTATTTTGACTTCTGTAATTCCGTAAACTAACACTACATATCGTGCCTCTGATGATGCTAATAATTGTTGGGCTTGTTTCTCTCGCACTGTTAAAGTTGCGCGACAACCCCGGAATTTTTTCGTTTACGGTAAATCATTTTTCTTCATTTTTACAGCTTGTAGGGGCTTTTTGCCATGTGAGGAGAGAGATGTATCGCTTTATGATGGACGTCAAGTAGTCGTTATCAGCTACGCTAGGCACAATGGCATCTATGTCAGTTTTTCCGGACGATATGGAACCTCCTGAACCACCTATTCGCTCTTCGAGCACCTTGTGAGTCTTCTATGTTGTCATTTACCTCATTGTAAGACGCGCTGGCGCTGTTCCCACCAAACCACTTCCTGATATCCCCAAGAAGAATCAAAATAGGCGTGAGTTTTTCATTTTTTTACCTTGTCTGTTTTATTCCGCTCAATCTATGCTATGGATTATTTGTTATCATCCCTAAATCTGATGTCTAACATTTGACTTAAACCCTCTTAAAACCAGTTGTTCATCTTTCACTTCCTTCTGAAACTCCCATTAATACAACCGCTTCTTACTGCGGCCTGCCATAGTAAGTGATCTTTCGAGTATCGGTCTTACTGGATCCCATTGCGGTTCTTCAGATGCCGCAACTAATCTTCTTTGACTGCCTACTGATTAATAGAACATTTCACTGTACAGTGACGTGCGACAGATTCACCGTTTTTTGCCGTGGTTTCATTGTGCCATCTAAATATCGCTTAAGTCTCCTCTGTTTGCAGTTGTGTCCATTTTTGGAGGGCGTGCCTAGATTCATAAATATCCGAAAACTTCACAATTCCCGATGCGGTGTAACGGTCTGCTGGAAACTTTTGAATTCATTGCCGTCACATGGCCTTAAGAATCACGAGCATGCCTTGTAATCCGAGGACGCGGGTTCGAGCCTGCGTAAGAGACCGTGCTACCCTCGCAGTATCCTTAGCCCATATGCGACTGGTGGTGTTCGTGCGGCAGTAAAGCGTCGATACTACGTACCAGCGTAGTATTGATACCTATTTTCCTGAATTCGTTACAAATGAAATCCAGCAGGGCCGTAACGATCCGTTGTGAGACCTCACCTCAAACACCGCCAGCCGTGTTGCATCTCCCAAGCTAAGTGATCTAAGGGATTTGTTTCAGGACATCATTAGCAATGGTGATGGCAGGCACAGGCATCTGCCAAATCCTGGGATAGTATTTTGCACTTGTCTGGGCTGAGCTACAGGCCATACTTAGACGACATCATCGTTAAGCGGTTCTAAACGCTATGGACAGCTTGTGGATCATCCTCAAGCAAAGCGAAATCATCATTGTGCTGTAAACCCGCAACTCTGTCACCTGGGAGGAGCTCAATACCGCAGTTTTGGACATCTTCCAATGCTCGTTGGACGACATCTTCAATGGCAAAAGTGAAGAGGTAATGGGAATTAGGACAACCTTGGCAAATGCTGCAGGTGACAACAAACGAGGGGGAAAGTCTGCTCTAAGCCCTGACTTTGCCGCACGTGTGGCTGTGTATTTCCTTCAGGATGGTTGCAAACGTGTCGGGCACATCTTTCTTCAGTAAACAGTTCCACAACGCAGATCTGTCTACTGAATCGAATGCTACTTGGATGTCCAAGAACACTACGATTCTTGGCCGTCGGTGGACCTGACGGAGTTCAAGCAATTGGCGAGGCGTAAAGGTTTAGTCGAGGCAACCTCTACCTTAACGGAAACCAGCCTATTCCTCTCGGGAAACGCCTTCTTTAATCGCTGAAAGGTTGCAGAGTAGGATAGACACGAAAATCTTGGACGCAACGGTGATCAACGAAATTCCGCGGGGATTGGCACAATCTCCGCGGGAGCCTCTCGTGAATCGGGATATTGATCGATTCTCCCATGCAATGGGGTCTTTGTCGTCAGTCCAAACCTTCGTGAACAGTGACAGGATTTCGCTGACAGGTGTCTTCCCATCATCTTTGAATAGAGCTGGGGGTAGACTGTAAGAGCCGGGAGTTTTGTGACTTTTCAAAGATTGGATTGCGCTTCGGGTCTCTGCCTCCGTAGGAGAATCTGTGGGGACAGACCACGCACCATCCTCGGGAAATGGTGGTGTCACAGTAAGCTGTGCTGGGTAATTAAATTGGAAAGCAAAGCGCTCTGCCCAGCGGCTTAAGCACCTGTGTAAGTTAGTGATTTTCATGTCGTCTGACTCGTAAATTGTCTGCTTGATAGCATGTGAACTGCGACCAGTGGTCCGCCGCAGGACAGGCCGGCGGACAGCATAGCTTGTTGCAAATTTGACCAATGTTGATCAACCTCCAGAAAAGAGGAATGCGAATTTAACAAAATCTCTGTTGATGCTACTTTTCCACCGTTGGGTCCTCCAACTTGTGTGTTCAGTCGGGTTTCTTTGGCCCTAGGTCAGCCACCGGAACGCATACAAACTGTCTCACACACCAAAGCATGATCGGTTTCAACGCACGTTGTCCAAAATTATCTGCAGTCGCGTACGCTTCCGCGCCACCTGCGACTTATGGCTATGTGGTCAATCTGTGACCAGCGCTGGGTTAACGATAGAGGACGCCAGGTGGCATAGTGGCGTTCAGAGTAACTAAAGCTCCTATTGGAGAGGAAAAGTTGTTGATCAGCACACAGACTGAGTAGTCTCTCTCCTTTGTCAGAGCGAATATCATCATACCCATGCGGTCCACCGAGGTGGCGTTCACATGGTAGCAGCCGACCGATACATGCATTTAAATCTCTTGCCATAATGATGATGTCTGTTTTAGGCGCCCTTAGGAGCAGCTTATGAAGATGTTGGTAGATCGGGTCCTTGATTGTATCCGAGCTGCATTTAATAGGCGCGTAGGCGGAAATCACAAAAAAGCACGCTTGTCTGCTCTATGTCTGCTAAGCTTGTAAGAGCCACGGAACCTCTTAGCCAAAGACGACTGTTGGTTGGTATCCAATCAAGAAAGCCGACTTTAGCTCTGGCACTGAGGACGATCCCAACACCAGCTTGCCCTGCTGCGGCGGACTCAGCGTCACCAGAAAGGCGACGATAAAAGCGGGTGTGTGGTTGAACTGGAGACGACAGCTGGTAGACTGTCTTGGGATCATGCAACAAACATCAGTTTCAAGGTTTTTCAACGTGTTTTCAAGTTTAGCTTGCTGTCCAATCTGCAGTAATGTGCGCACGTTAACGGTTGCTGGTTTGAACTGCATTCCAAGTCGCGGTAGCGAAAATAGCAGACCTCAGGGCTGGCAGCTCTCTGTCGAGGACTGTGTGGCTGAGGTGACGAATGATAAGAGAAAAACTTCATCGGCTGAGGTGTAGTTGTTCACCGTTGAAGAACCAAGTAACAATGGGGTAAATGGTACAAGAGTAGGGTAGGTAACATGGTGGCGTGTGTTCGTAAAGTTATCGTAGTAGCCTGGTGGTGCATCATCATTGGAGCTTAGAAGAGTGAATGCAGTTGTGGGGTTCCATGTATCTTCATAAGCGAGATACTACGCTGTTGCCTAGGCCTAAATAGGTGAGTAGTCATAGGTGACTACGACCCCGAGTCTTTGGCTAAAGGGCCTAACCTACAATCCAGCAGGGCGAGATAAGGGTTTCACACGCGTTGGGAGCCGGTGACTAAAGATTCAGTTCATACGCCTTTCAGATGGCGAAAAGCCATACCAGAGGCCCAACACATCCCAAGTCAAAGGCAAAGTCAGATGCTCGGGTTCCTTGTGGGCGTACAATGCCTCCGAGGAAGAAAAGGGGCAGTGACTTTATTTGGTAGCGCGTCACATCCGCCACGTCGCACTATTGGTAAACAGACATGTATGGCTTTTATAGGGAGAACGCTTCCCAGGCGTAAACCCACCAGGTCCTAGAATACTGCCGCCGAACCATATATATATATATATATATATATATATATATATATATATATATATATATATATATATATATAGTGTGCCCCATGCTGAGACTGATGTTTCATTCATGATGCCTCTTCACTGCAGTTGGGCTAAACCAACTTGCACTTAAACTAGGCCTCTTTTTAAGCTGGATAAATTTCATTCCACTTCATTTGATTTGTTCTGCCCACCGGAATAATCTTCTATTAAATTTCCACGTTGCTTACGGTAATTGTGCTTATCTTCATTAACTTTATTGCGTTTGTAGCATTTTCTGTGTCACTTCTGGACATTTTTTACTTATCGCCGATTCGTTGCTAACCAACATACTTCATATGCTAATTTAGGGAAGAGTTATGCCTGCATAGCCGCATTCTTTAACAGATATATTTTATTTGGTTATTTCATGTTTGTCTGTTGCTTGATACCCCCGGTGTGACTGCGCCTGATGTGCATGTTGACAATTTGCCTACCTGTCTATTACCCACTACCTCGTCCATACCGGCTCCAGGAGACAGTTGGTCGTTGCTGGAGGGGAGAGGGTGCACGGTCTCTGTGGCCGTGCTAGGCTCGAAGAATGGTTTCATGCACTGTGTGGAGCGGACTACGGTCCAGCTACCGCCATGTGTGCGCTTGATTCCCAAATACAGTGTGCTTGTGTTTACCTGTGAAGGAGTGTGGGCCGGCTCCGTTGCTGAGACGTGGCTCCCATCCACATGCCTCCCGGTCTTATTCCTTCGGGTTTACACTGGATATGTGGTGTGTGGATGGAGCTGTGGGTGGTGCTGCGCAAGCCACCCATGGTCCCTCTGTAGACGCAGGCGTCCTGTGGCTGACCGCAGTGACAGGCAAATCGGAAGCCGGATGCCGCCAACCATATATTTATATCGTGTAGTATGCCCATTTTTTCTATATTCTAAGATGAAACGCAAGCGTTACACTTAAAGCGAGCAATTGTTTTCGATCTATTCATCAGAAGGCTTGGTAGAGAAATATACGTTGAGGAGTTCATTCGAGAAACAGAGGGTAACTATTGATTGAATAAAATGTTAAAACACTCTGTGTATTTGAGCAGACGAACAACTTGCAAAATGTCGTCGAGTGTTTTAACAAGGCACATCCCAACGCCACATTCACAGTTGAAGAAGAAATTGACAACCAAATGCACTTATTGGATGCAAACTTAAAGCGACGTGAAGACGAATCAATTTAAATAGGAGTATATGGAAAAGCGTATTGGACAGACTAATATACACACTACCGAAGTTTTGTGTCAATTAGTCGTAAAACATTAGCACATACTCTGATAAAACGGGCAAGGAAGATCTGCAGTAAGGACACTACTGAAGATGAAATGAAGCGAATCAGGCAAACACTTCTCGAAAACGGTTATTCAGAACCATTCATTGACGTTCCTATAAAGTTTAGTAGGCCAAGACCAACAGTACAAACGGTGGAGAAGAAACAGCTA